GTGCAAGCCTGAGCCCATGGGCTCCTGCCCAGGTGAGTCTTCCCAGCAGTCCATCCCACCAGGGGGCCAGGCGGAGGGAACAGGGGTGTGCAGGCCCCGTGTAAAAAGAAAGCCACCCCAGGGCCTTCCAACCCAAGATGAATCAGGCCCTGCCACCTTTCTACTATAGAGCTTCAGCACCCAGCAGGAATTCTGCATCCACAGACAACAGGAATCTGAAAGACTGGTCACCAAAGAGAAATACACTGTCACTTCAACATCTTCCAGAAGTCTTACCTTCCCATTCTCTCTCCCCCAGTCTGTTGACAGCTTGAAGTATGATTCCCACGAAGATACGTGGTGTCGATCAACCTTTTCATTGTCGATCCCCACACCTGCTCCCTCCCCCAAATCTCCACTGACCTTGGTGCTACCCAGATGAGCTGTTGTATTTGACGCATCTCCCCCGTATCCATGATGATCAAACAGTTGGTTCCCTCCACAATCCTATCCATCACTTCCTTCCACCACCACCAGCCTTATCACCTCTTCCCTGAGTGATGTCACCTTTTCCACAAGGGCTTATTTGGTGCCTACTCGGGCTAGGCTGTGTTAGGTAGAGCAGATAGAGATGGGCTGTAGAGTGACGTGGTCCTGGTTCGAATCCCTGCTCCAAGTTTTGTAGCTGAGTGATCCTGAGGCTACAGGAGCCTCAGTGTGTTCACAAGGAAGAAGGCTAACTTCTGCACAGGGGTTTGGGTGAAGGTTTGTGAGTGTGTACACACAGTTTCTCATCTCCAGTTGGCTGTCAGTACATGGTGGCAATCCTCACACTGTCTGCCCTCCAGAAACTGAAATCTGATACCAGTATGAGCTAGAATAAAGAATGAGAAGAACAAATAACGAAAGTTTTTGTTGATTTGTGCTCCATGTTGAGACAGGTGTAGACTTCAACTCGGATGAGGCTGGAATGGAGGATGGGAAGACATACTAGACTTAGAAGTAGGAGGTTGATGTATTAATAACTGGGGTTATAGGAGACCAGCTTGCCTGAAGTGAGGGATTTATACCTGGGAGTATTAGGAGAGTTGACTGGGTTGGGGTGAGCCTCAGATGCAGCTAGAACAGACTTTATCCTCTCAGAAATGCGAAGCTATTGATGGTTCTTTGGTAGCAAAGTGGCACAAAGAAAATGAAAGTGATATCACAGTATGATAAAGAGCTGTTTGAAACGGATGGATCGATCGGTAAAAGAAATGGGAGGAAATCTAATTGTGATAATTCAAGCCCCAGGCTATTACAGACTTTTAGAGCCAGACAGGACCTCCAATCATCTGGTTCCAAGGATGTCAAACAAGAATCACTTTGGGAGCTTGAAAGAAAGAGAACAGCTTCACAGGCCTGGGTCCCCTAGATGCACTTAGTCAAAGTTCCCCAGGAGATTATGAAGTGGCACCAGATTTAGACACCATGAACTGGTCCAATGCTTATACCTAAGCAAGCTAACAAACTCAATTCAAAGAAAACTCAAAGAGATTAAGTGAGTCAACTGTGGTCACACTGCTGCTTAGTGGCAGAGAAAAACCCAAATGGACCCTCTCAGTCTGGGTCCTGAACTCCTTCCTCTTGGCTGGGTCATCTCTGTGCCCAAGAAGGTCAGAGCACCAGGGGAACCTGTCTCAAACCTGCCTCCCCCAGAGGGCCCTCCATGCTTCTCCAGAGGTTGGCACCATCCATTGGTTCCCCAAATCCTGTAAGCTCAATCCTCTTCTTAAACCGGGATTTCCCACCTGGCTCTAGAAGTGAAGGGAGTAGGAGCAGGGAAGAGCCTTTGAGAAACCACAGGAAGGAATGCAAAGGTCTCTATGGCCACTGGCGAGGAGTCAGAAGATCCCCTGGAGAAGGGAATGGCAACCCACTCCAGTATCCTTGTCTGGAGAATCCCATGGACACAGGGGCCTGGCGGGCTGTACAATCCCCAGGGTCGCAAAGAGTCAGACACTGAGCGACTAACACAGAAACAAGGTGAGTGTCAAGGCCAGCCCACAGAAGGAGGCTGTAGACGGAGTAGATCCAGGAAGGTGGGGTGTTTGCTGATAAGCCTGCTGAACTGCAGTTGATTCACAGGGCACAAAGGGGAGTTGCTTGTCTGCAGATGGGAGACTGTGGTTCCAGAAAGGAGTGGGCTGGACAGCAAGATGGGGATGGCCCCCATTCCCGTGGGCCTCTGAGCCCTCAGAGTGAAAGCTGAAGACTGAACCCTGAGTGAGGGTAAAGGGTGTCCACCATAGAGGCAGGGTCTCGTTAAGGAGGCAGGCAAGCCTAGGAGAAAGCACCCGCTGGCTTGGAGAGCCCAGGAGGAGGGCTTTCGGTGGCCCTCCGATTTGGACAGCCCCAGGAACTTTCCAGGGGAAGGAGCAGGAGATAGGCTTAGGGGCTCCAGGAAGTGGCGGTCCTATTGGCAAACAAACAGATCAGGTGAAAGTCACTCAGTCCACTTTTTGCGACCTCATGGACTATATATGGAGAATGTGGAATTCTCCAGGATAGAATGGTCCTGGAATGGGTAGCCTTTCCCTTCTCCAGGTGGATCTTCCCAACCCAGGGATTGAACCCAGGTCTCCTGCATTGCGGACGGGCGCATTCTTTACCAGCTGAGCCACAAACGTGGGGTTTAACAGACTCGTCTTGTTTTGCCCTTTCAGGGGATGAGTGGATGATTCGGAAGGTGAAGGTAGAGAAGGAGGAGGATCGGGAGGCCCACGAGGAGGCGGAATGGCCCCAGCATCTGGCATTACGCCCCAGCCCCTTTCCCCCGCCGGACCTGGGGTCTCTGGCCGCCGCGTATAAGCTGGAGCCGGGGGCCCCAGGGACACTGGGTGGCCTCGCCCTGGCCGGGTGGGTCCCGACCGCCTCGGAGAAGCCCTACGGCTGCGGGGAGTGCGAGCGCCGGTTCCGGGACCAGCTGACCCTGCGGCTACACCAGCGGCTGCACCGCGGCGAGGGCCCGTGCGCCTGCCCCGACTGCGGCCGCAGCTTCACGCAGCGCGCGCACCTGCTGCTGCACCAACGCAGCCACCGCGGCGAGCGGCCCTTCCCCTGCTCCGAGTGCGACAAGCGCTTCAGCAAGAAGGCGCACCTGACCCGCCACCTGCGCACGCACACCGGCGAGCGGCCCTACCCGTGTGCCGAGTGCGGCAAGCGCTTCAGCCAGAAGATCCACCTGGGCTCGCACCAGAAGACGCACACGGGCGAGCGGCCCTTCCCCTGCCCCGAGTGCGAGAAGCGCTTCCGCAAAAAGACGCACCTGATCCGCCACCAGCGCATCCACACGGGCGAGAGGCCCTACCAGTGCGCGCAGTGCACCCGCAGCTTCACGCACAAGCAGCACTTGGTGCGGCACCAGAGGGTGCACGCGGCGGCCGGCCGCACCCCGCCCTCTCCCGACGCGCCCGCCTCGCCCACGTCCCCTGCCCCGTCCCCCACCCCGTCCCCTGCCGGCCCCAAGCCTTTCTCCTGCTCCCACTGCGGCCTGAGCTTCGGCTGGAAGAAGAACCTCGCCACGCACCAGCGCCTGCACAGCGGCGAGGGGCGCCCTTTCGGGTGCGACGAGGGCGCTCTAGGCGCCCCTGTGGACCCCGCGGCCCCCGAGCCCTTGGCCTGCGCGCCCCGAGGCACACCGGCGCTCCCGGGCGCTCCGGCCGGCGAGCGGTCCTTCCTCTGCCCCGAGTGCGGGCGCAGCTTCGCCCACGGGCAGCACCTGGCGCGACAGCGGCGGGTCCACACGGGCGAGCGGCCCTTCGCCTGCGCGCAGTGCGGCCGCCGTTTCGGCTCGCGGCCCAACCTAGTGGCCCACTCCCGGGCGCACAGCGGCGCCAGGCCCTTCGCCTGCGCGCAGTGCGGCCGCCGCTTCAGCCGCAAGTCGCACCTGGGCCGCCACCAGGCGGTGCACACCGGCAGTCGGCCCCACGCCTGCGCCGTGTGCGCCCGCAGCTTCAGCTCCAAGACCAACCTGGTCCGCCACCAGGCGGTGCACACGGGCTCCCGCCCCTTCCCCTGCCCGCAGTGCGGCAAGAGCTTCAGCCGCAAGACCCACCTGGTGCGACACCAGCGCGTCCATGGAGGAGCCGCCCACCCGGCCTCCGGAGCTGACCTCTCGAGCCCAGCCTGGCCCACTCCCACCGACGTGGCCGCACCCGCGCTCTTCTTTTGAGCTTCGTTCTAGCCCGAACCCGGGCTTTCCCTTCGCTTGCTCCCTGGTTCCAGAGACCCATGCCGGACATCTGGGCATCGTGGCCTGGATTGCCCGTGGCCATTTTCCTCTCTTCTCCATCCTGCGGGGGGAAAGCCTGGAACGGATACCCGGCTTTGACCTTCTGTGTCAGAGACAGGGCTAAGAGTAAACCCTTGATGGGAACAGTTTAGGCCTGAGTCCTTGGAAATCTCCCACTAAGAGGGCCCATGGAAAGATGATGTTTCCTGGACCACTCCCAACGGAGGACTGAGTCAGGAACCTCTACAGGGGCAGGGAAAGAATGGCCATCTGTATACTGAAAGTTTCATTAAAATTACAATCCGAAGGTTCTGGGGCTGTGGAATGAGTTGGGGATGGAACCCCTGACTTTTCTCAGCCACCCTTTTCTACCTTAGTCCACACACAGACACCCCTTCCCATCCTATCTGGGTGAGTTCAATTTAGCCAGCTGCCAATAATGGGCTTTCTCAAATCAAAATATGATACATCTAGTTGCTGAATCGCTGTCTTGCTCCCTGACCTTAGCTCAAATCTGACAAGGAGGACACATCAGTATACATTTCTCATGCCAGGGGTCGAAGGTTAAACTGCAAGGAAGACGAAGAGAGGAAGCAGGGTGCCCCTGGCTGTTCCCATGGAGACGGGGTGCCACCGAAGTTTCTGGAGCTCCATGGCTCTCTGCCTGGGTTTGCAGCTCTCCCAAGGGGATCTCAGAACAGCCCCACCTGCCACTCTGCCTGCAGCGGGGGGAGGACGTGAGTGACAGATGAACTTTCCTGTAAGTTCTCTTTATGATGGCGGCTTGGTCCAGACATCTCTAGCTGAGCTGCCCCAGCCGAGGCTGACAGGAGAGCTGACTGACCGGAAAGGGTAGGATGATGGGGCAGTGTGTTGGACTTGGAGTGAGAAGTCTTATAGTTGACTTTTCCTCAGTCTCTTTAGGACTTGGAGCAGAGCCCTACGTTTTCCTGGGTCTCTGCTTTCTCCTTACACTAAGATTGTTGATGTCGATGAGGGCTGAGGCTTTTTTCCAATTCTAACGTCACTATCCGCAAGATAGCACTCGTGGTGAAGAATCTGCCTGCCAATGCAGGAGACATGGAACATGGGTTCGATCCTTGTGTAGGGAAGATCCCCTGGAGGAGGAAATGGCAACCCACTCCAGTATTCTTGCCTGGAGAATCCCATGGACAGAGGAGCCTGGTGGGCTACAGTCCATAGGGTCACAAAGAGGCAACTTAGCACAAAGGTTTCAGAATAACCCTAGCAAATATTTACTGGGTGCCAACATTGTGCCAGAGGATGAGATGGTTGGATGGCATCACTGACTCAGTGGACACGAGTTTGAGTAAGCTCGGGAAGTTGGCAATGGACAGGGAAGCCTGGCATGCTGCAGTCCATGGGGTCCCTAAGAGTCGGACACGACTGAACTGAACTGAGCTACTTTGTGCCAAGTCTTGCACTAGGCATGGGCAACAACAGTAAGCAAGAGCTTACAGGAAACAGGAGGACTGTGGGGCCAGGGCCAGCACAGAGGGCTTTGCGAGTGGCGCCCAAAATCTAGGAAAAGTCAAGAGAGGTTCACAGGTTGAAGACACCTCTAAAGTGAGCCCTGAAGGATGGGCGCACATAGCAAGTGACTAACTCCTCCTCCTGGTCCTTTTCTTGGGTTCCTACCTCCTTCTTATCCTGGTCTTGTAACCCAAGTTGTTTTAAATATGCAAGACCTGGGAGACCTTAGCTGGAAGCTAGCTGCACAGACATTCTGATGACTCTTGTGCTGGGGGAGGTGGAGAACGGTGAAGAGCCAGGCTGCCCTCCTGAGTCAGAGCACAGAGCACAGCTCCTCATGCCTGCCTGGGTCTTTGAGACTATCTCTATGGCTCAGCGGGCTCCTTCAAGCACCCACATCGGTGAAGAGGCATCCACCATTCCTAAGTTGTTGCCTTCCCACTTTGAGGAGGAGAGGAGATGGTCAGCTAAGGAGCCAACCTGCTGTGCTTTAAATATAGTTTCCCCCAGTATCTCAAAGTAGAGCGTTCCTATGAAATACAGCCCAAATTCACAATAACTACTATTATTATCACCATTTTATAGATGTGGAAACTGAGTACAGAGCAATTAGGTCATTTGTACAAGGTCATTCCTTCCTTCCTTCATTCAACAAACATGCACTGAGTACCTACCTGTGTGTCCAGCATTGTGAGATGCTGGCAATAGGAATACTCTTTATAAACTAAATGTGTTCAATACTTACTCTTCACTGCTGCTGCTGCTGCTGCTACGTCGCTTCAGTCGTGTCCGACCCTGTGCGACCCCATAGACGGCAGCCCACCAGGCTCCCCCGTCCCTGGGATTCTCCAGGCAAGAACACTGGAGTGGGTTGCCATTTCCTTCTCCAATGCATGAAAGTGAAAAGGGAAAGTGAAGTCGCTCAGTCGTGTCCGACTCCTAGCGACCCCATGGACTGCAGCCTACCAGGCTCCTCTGTCCATGGGATTTTCCAGGCAAGAGTACTGGAGTGGGGTGCCATTGCCTTCTCCATACTCTCTTCACTAAGTACACTCAGTAAAGGGTACTTAGTACACTAAGTAAAGCCCTAAGTGAATCAAGGGCTTTACAAGTGTTGCCGTTTTTCTTCCCACCATCCTGTGAGTGGGCATCCTTGTCCTTGGTCAAGTTTTTCTCATGAGGTAAAAGAAGCTCAGAGAGTCCAAGTAACTTGCACAAGTGACACAGAATATGTGATGAAAGCAATGCAGTGGTTTGCTTCGAAAGCCTGTGCTTTAAAAAAAATGGGGGGACTTCCCTGGTGGTCCAGGTGGCTCAGGAGGTAAAGAAATCTGCTTGCAGTGTGGGAAACTGGGGTTTGATCCCTGGATCAGGGAGCTCCCCTGGAGAGGAAATGGCTACCCACACCAGCATTCTTGCCTGGAGAATCCCATGGGAGAGGAGCTTGGTGGGCTGCAGTCCATGGGGGCAAAGAGTCGGACATGACTGAGTGACTAACACTGGTGGTCCAGTGGTTAAGACTTCGCCTTCCAGTGCAGGGGTGTGCGTTTAATCCCTCTGCTCAGGGACCTACGCTCCCACATGCTTCAGGGCAAAAAAAAAAAACAAACATAAAATAGAAGCAATATTGTATTTATAACAAATTCAATAAAGACTTTTAAATGATCCACATTAAAAAAAACTTTATAAAAAAGCAAATTTTATGTTTGTATCAACAGTGCACAAGGGTTCCAATTGTTCCTAGCCAACACTGGCTGTTTTTTGCCATTCTAACAGGTATGCAGTGACCTCTCAGTGTGGTTTTGACTTTCATTCCCCTGTGTGTGTGTGTGTGTGTGTGTGTGTGTGTGTGAGTGAGTGTGATTTAGTTGCTCAGTCATGTCTGACTCTTGTGACCCCATGGACTGCAACCTGCCAGGCTCCTCTGTTCATGGGATTCTCCAGGCAAGAATACTGGAATGGGTTGCCATTTCCTTCTCCAGGGGATCTTCCCATCCCCAAGGATGGAAACTGGGTCTCCTGTGTTGCAGGCAGACTCTTTACCAACTGAGCTACGAAAGAAACCCTTCATCCCCCTAGAGCCTGTATTTTTCAGCACCAGACTCAGTCTCCTTGCAGAGAGGTCCCTCACCTTCCTGGTCTTCAGGGCGTTCAGTGGATGGGTCTGGTGATCAGGGTGCAGGGGACTTTTACACGAAGGGCCATGGGATGAAGGTGAAGAGCGACAAAGCACACGTGGAGGGTCGGAAGGGCTCTCTGAAACGGGGGTGACTCGCTGAGACCTCACCTCCTTGGACCAGCTCTCGGCACCATAGTCACCTTCACCCTCCCGACAATGAGTGTGTCTCCTGGGGGAGAAGAAGGGGCTTCTGCCCCAGGCAGCAAACCACTTTTGTGGGCAGACCCCTGCATAAAAGCAGGAAGCAACTGAAAGCAAGCTCGTGTATCAGTTACAAAATGTCCCCTTTCCAGAAGTGATGGTGAATTATGGAGTCACCCCGAGGTGGGGATGTGAGAGTCTGTGGAAGGGTGGCTGTCAGCTGGAACTGGCTTGTAATTGGGACAAGAGCCTGTATCACACGGGCTTCAGTGACACTGTCCAGCACAGCCCATCTCCCAGCCCAGGATCTGAGAACCGCCTGACAGCGGCCTCCTGGCCTTGCCAGCCCGCAGGCCTCCCCACTGCACACACAGAGGAAAACTTAAAAGCCAAGTCTGTGCAAGGAACTCCTTCACCAAAGACACTGTGTTTCTTTCCTGGGACTGCCAGAATCAAGCCCCACGCACTGGAGGATGGAAAACATTTCTCCTCTCAGCTCTGGAGGCCAAAGTGCACAGCCAAGGTGTGGGCAGGGCCGCGTTCCCTCCGAAGGTTCTGGAGTGGGTCTGTTCCAGACCTCCCTCCCAGCTGCGGAGTTGCCGGCAAGACTCCCTCTGCCTCGACTTGTGGCCGCATCTGTCCAGCCACCGCCTCCTGTTTTCGCGTGGCCTTCTTTCTCTCTGTCTGTCTGTGTGTGTGTCTTCTCTTCTTCTAAGGACCCAGCCCTAGTGGATTAGGGCCACCCAACATCCTCACCTGAACTCCATTGCGTCTGCAGAGACCCAGTTTCCAGATAAGGTCACAGTCACCGGCCTTAGGGGCAAGGACTTCAGCCTGTCTCTAGGGGACACATTTCTGCGCATCACAGGGACCTTCACGGAGATACTGTGCCAACCGTGGAGGAGGAGAAACTGACACACAGGCTGGGAGGGGATGGGCTGGCTCCACCAACGTGGGAGGGGGGCAGCGCTGCATGGTTCTGATCAAACTCGACTGGTCCCCAGAGCTCTTGCCTCCGGGTGACAGGCTGGGAAACGAGCTTTGGGAATGTGCAGTGGAGCGTTCAAACAGGCTAAACAATGATAACAAAGATGTCACTTCGAGTTCCTTGACTCTACAAGTGATTTATTAAATTTATATTTTCTTACTTTTCTAACAGTAAAACAGCTTTGACATGACTGTAAACGAAGAGAAAGCACAGTTGACTTTTAGGAGACTGCAGGAGCAGCCGAGAAATGAGCGATCTTCCATCAAATGTGACTGTTTTGTTCAATGTTTCTGTAAATTCTGTGTGTGAGTGCATGTGTGTGCGCACGCTTGCACGCATGCACCTGTTCTACAGTTTATTTGTGGGGAGATATAAGATGGAGGAGCCCCATGGGGAGATGCCCCCTTGAGGGTAAGTGGGTTTGAATGGCTAGGTGTGCAGGTCAGACAGATGGGCTGAGATGGGAAGGTGCTTCTGGATGGCATTTTGAGGAACAGAGGATGGTCAAATTGAAGTGGGATGAACTGGTCTCCCACAGTGAATGTTTTTTCTGCCCCCTGAGAGCCAAGAACCCTCCTGGGAGCTGTGGTGGGGTGTGGCCTGTGGTCCCAGCATGGCAGACAGTCTCTGGGAGGGAAGTGGTTACCAAAGGCTGGTGGAGACCTTCACCCTGCCTCATGGTGCGGAAGACAGGTTGCTCTGCCTGAAGGGTATTTCCTTAACCAGAGACACGTCCACATTCTACTATGCGCGACATCCTGTCCTTTCCCAGGGGTAGTAATTTGGGGAAATTCGGCTGCAGAGCGATGTACTGTGGCCTCAGTAGGAGGAGAAGCAGGGCTCTCAGAGAAAGGGGCCCTGGGGGTCCTCACGACAAGGCATTGCCGTCAGAGGGGGCTTGCCTGAAGGCTTTTAGGAAACACTTTCCCAACTGCTTGACAGACAACAGAGCTAGGGTCTAGTACGAGTGCAGCCTCCTAGCAGGGACGCTCTTGGTCAAGATCAGGAACTGGATTGACGTCATAGACTTACGTAGAACGTCATTACGTAAAGTCCTTGGGGCATCGCAGTGGGTTCCGTTTCGGGCTCTCCGAAGGCCTGACTCCGCGGCACGACAGCCCAGCCAGGCAGTCCTGCGTAGCTCAGAGCCCCCCCTTTTCTCTCACTGGGCTTTCTCCACTCGGGGTTTCTCTGGAGGGTTTTCAGGGCCCCCCAGAGACTCTGCCCTGTGGCCCAGCTTCCTCCCAGAAGGGCTGTATTTTGGTGGACAAAATACATTCCACAGGTAAGGAAATGGAGGTTTAGTGTGCTTGAGCGCTTAAGGATGTGAGGGCCTTGTCTCCCCAGGCCAGCTGGAGCAGCTCCAGGGCAGGCCGTCTTGTGAACTATCTGGATTCCTGGACCCACCTCACTTGGTGCTTGTTGAGCTGTGTAGCTAGAAGAGGAGCGCACCCATCTGTTCTCTCCTGGAAGCTTTGGTGCCTAGAATCCACCTTATCAGTCAGAGCTTTGGCTAAGTCAGGGTAACAGCCAAAGCACAGATCCCGGACAGAGAATGAATATTCAGTGATCCATTTTCCCCTTGGCTGCCAGAATGCTTAAAGCTAAATTTACTGCTCAAGTGCCGCTCTCGGAGTCAGATGTCTGGTGTAGCTCACATACTTTACATTTTACTAGCTCTATGGTAACATATGGCCTTTGTTTGTTGTTCCTCCAGATGCTCTATACCTGCCGTAGCAGATGAAAAGACAGGCACACAGACGAAGAGGAGAAAAGAGCCTCACTTGGCAGAGGGGACAGAAAGGGAAAGTAAGAATGCTGATGTTGGAGGAGCCTGGGTATTTCCTAGACCAGTGGTCCTTAAACTTCTGTGGACCACCAAGCAGGTGGGTAAAATATTTGAAAACTCTCCCCAGAAAAATGTACATAAAAACAGCAGACTGGAGACTCCCCTGGTGGTCCAGTGGCTAAGACTCCAAGCTCCCAATGCAGGATCCCTGGTCTGGGAACTAGATTCCACATCTCGCAGCTAAGAGTTCGTATGCCGCAACTAAAGATCACGTGTGCCACATCGAAGACCCGGCACCGTCACATAAATAAATATTTAAAACAAACAAAACCAAGAATTTGCATGTAATTTCAGAAGGAATGTGGATCCTTCCACCCCCACCCAAGCCCACCCGTCACCTTCAGAGTCTCTGAAGCTCTGAAATGTTAACCCCTCATCCTGCACATGTAAGAACAGAGGCCTTTAAAAGGAGAGGGGCCCCTGGGGCTGAGGGTGGGAGGGAAGGAAAGATGCAATCTGCAGTTTTGCCAGGGCAGGCCCTGCTGGCAGGTATCCGGTTCTCCCTGTGACCCTGGGCCTGGGAGCACCCACCCCAGGAGGAGCCTAAAGGTAACTGGGAAACCGTATGGGGCCAAAGGAAACACATCCCCAGCTCTGCAACCCCCTTCTTGTTCAGCAGGCTTGGGAGAGTGGGGTATGCAAACCTACAGCTAAGTGGGCTAAGAGACTGGGACCAGATCGGGAGTCACCATTAGCCAGAGGACCCCAAGACCCTCACCTCTGGGCCCAGATTGAAGCCCCCCCACCACCTGGCTGGGCCTGGAGGCTGGAGTAAACCCCGGGAGGTCCTGCCTGGGTGGGAACCAGGAAGCCCAGGGCCTGCCTGCCCGTGGGTTACCCCCCTCCTCGTGAACAGTCTGATGGGGGCTTCTCATTTCGCAGCTGCAGCAGCTGCCAGCCCCACCCCCTCCGTCTCATCTGGCTCTATTGTGCTTTGTTTCAGGAAGGCGAGAAAGCAGTGATCACTCGCCCCCACTTCTATTTTGTCAAGGTCACAGGCTTCTCTTCTCCTCCTGGGGCCCATGCTAGTCATCTCCTATCAGCGTTTCGAGAACAGTCTTCTGAGCTTTCTACAGCTCTGTGAAAGCGTTTGGTTGGGGACCCATCGCTTGTGGGGTCAGGGAGATGCTCAGAAACTCTTGTTGTCTGTCTGAGGTCAGGTAGGCACTTGAGAGAACCTGGGGGAAATCAAGGACTTATCCACTGTCACCATGGGGACCTGCCTTTTGCAAATGTAACTGGTTTATTAAATGAGCTGGACTGGGCGAGTGGCAAGCAAGAGGCAACTTTATTTTTTCTTCCATCATCACATTCAACCCCCTTCTGTCAGACCCGCCTTCTTTACTGTACCAGATTTCCACTGCTATGTGATTATCACCGACACCAAGTGACTGAAAACAAACACCTCTCACGTGCACACAGTCCTGCGCATTAACAACTTGAGACAGGCCCTGAAGGACAGGTTTTCGGCTGGTGCCACCTGGGGTCCTTCATGCTGTTTTTGTTGTCTTGTGGCTTTGAGGCTCGATGGGGCTTGGATGGTTCTAGATGGCCCGGTTCATACATCTGATGGTTGGTGATAGCTCAGCTAGGCCCCCTCCTGCCCCAGCTTTCCTGCTGCTTCATTCACGTGGACATGATACTGCCTCCATGTTTTCAAGTTTCTGCTGTCACCACTGGGGCTTCCAGCTGCAATACAGGAGATGCAAGAGATGAGGGTTCGATCCCTGGGTGGGGGAGATCCCCTGGAGGAGAGCTTGGCAACCCACTCCAGTATTCTTGCCTGGAGAATCCCATGGACAGAGGAGCCTGGCGGGCTAGAGTTCATGGGGTCGCAAAGGGTTGGACACAACTGAAGCAACTGAGCGTGCATGACTGACTGGCTTTCTCAGTTCCAAATTCCTAGAGGAGAACCTGGGACAGGCTAAATTCAAGTCAAGTTTATCCAGGTTTGATCAGCTGTGACCGGGCGGATGTGGTCTCGTGGTTGTTATACGAGTGTCATGTCCTGCTCTGTTTATGGGAGAAATGGAAATTCCCAGGGACACACGTGGCCATGGGCTCCCGGGCTGGACAGACAAGTCCAAGAGGCGTGTGCTGCAGTGAGCATTGTGACCGGGACCAGCCCTGAGCTGACCACTCATGATGGCAGCTCCCACAAACCCATCACGCTGATTAATTCCAAAATCATTGGTGGTTACTTAGAAAACTGCTTCAGCAAAGTGGTGGGAGCAAAAAGCAGATTACAAGTGGCTGAAGGTAAGTTGGAGCGAGGAAGTGGAGGCAACATTTACAGACTGCTTGAATTCATAGAGTCAGAAAGTTAATTGCTAGATGCCAGGGGCTGGTGGGGGTGGTGAGGAGCGGGGATGGGCATTTAGTGTTTAATGGGGATGGAATTTCAGTTTCAGAAGGTGAAGAATCAGGAGGTGGGTGATGGTGAGAGATGCACAACAATGTGAATGTACTTAGTGCTACTGAACTGTGCAGTTAAAAATGGTTGAAAAAGTATGCTTTAGATTACATGACTTTTGTTGTTGTTCAGTCGCTCAGTCGTGTCCGACTCTTTGAGACCCCATGGACTGCAGCACACCAGGCTTCCCTGTCCTTCACCATCTCCCAGAGTTTCCTCAGACTCATGTCCATTGATTCGGTGATGCCATCCAGCCATCTCATCCTCTGTCACCCCCTTCTCCTTTTGCCGTCAATCTTTCCCAGCATCGGGATCTTTTCCAGTGAGTCAGCTCTTTGCATCGTGAGGCCAAAGTATTGGAGTGTCCGCCTCAGCATCAGTCCTTCCAGTGAATATTCAGGGTAGATTTCCTTTGCAGGAAATTTCCTTTTCAGAGTTCGATTGCCTTGCAGTCCAAGGGACTCAAAAGTCTTCTCCAGCACCACAATTTGAAAGCAACAATTCTTTGGCGCTTGGCCTTCTTTATGATCCAACATCCGTACATGGCTACTGGAAAAACTACAGCTTTGACTGTGCAGACCTTTGCTGGCAAAGTGATGTCTCTGTTTTTTAATACACTGTCTAGATTGTCATAGCTTTTGTTCCAGGGAGAAAGTGTCTTTTAATTTTATGGCTGTAGTGACTATCCAGAGTGACTTTGGAGCGCAAGAATGTGACTCTTACCACAGTAAAAAAACATTACAAAAAAACCCAAAACATGTCCACACTGCTCGGAATAGACATCTTCACTCATCCAGCACATCTGCCCTTCTGGGGAGAGCTTACCCGTTATTCCTCCTGCTTCACCAACGTGCCCAGGTGGACCTGCCATGTGCTTGCATGGTCCTGCTCCCCGTACCAGTTGGGTGAGGACACCCCCCCCCCCCCCGGCAACTCCAGCTGGGCCCGTTGGAGCCCTGCCGCAGGGCGCAGGACTTTGCACCATGAGTGGGGAAGCAGAGGCCATACTTGTCAAACTCGGAAGCTTCTACAGGACATTTTTTCTTATCATGTGGATGAGGCCGGTCTTCAGTGAAGGACCACGGAGCTGACCACAGAGAGGAATGGGACTGAGATGGAGAGAAACTTGGCATCCGATGAAGCATAGATTCCTGACATTTCTGAGACCAAACTGCATTCAGGGCTTTCTGTGGCAGCTGTGAGATGCGCCATGTGGGTCTCCCTCCCAAAGCAAGGCCATTCCACATGGGTGAGTTGGGCACAGTCAGCCTGCCGCTACCAGCGTCGTCAGAGTCCCCTTCAATTTGTGAGCTGAGAACCAGCTCTCCCCAGGAAGTTCCTGCCAACTGGAGGGTGGCAGTCCCTTGGGCCTGGCCCTTCCTGCCCACGTGGCCCCGGGCATTGCCGTCTGAAGCCCCACCTGCACGATTCTGTTCCCCCACTTCCCTTTCCGAGGTGTCAGAGCCACACTGTGCCTGAGACTGTTTGCTCCCTTTTAAAAAGATCTTTCAAGAGAATTGGGCTTCCCTAATAGCTCAGTTGGTAAAGACCCCGCCTGCAATGCAGGAGACCCTGGTTCGATTCCTGGGTCAGGAAGATCCGCTGGAGAAGAGATAGGCTTCCCACTCCAGTATTCTTGGGCTTCCCTTGTGGCTCAGCTGGTAAAGAATCTGCCTGCAATTCGGAGACCTGGGTTTGATCCCTGGGTTGGGAAGATCCCCTGGAGAAGGAAAAGGCTACCCACTCCAGTATTCTGGCCTGGAGAATTCCACGGACTGTATAGTCCATGGGGTCCCAAAGAGTCGGACACAACTGAGCAATATCCACTTTGATTTTCAAAGGAATTACTTCCCAATATATCTCTTACCCCTGCCCCCGACTGCTTTCAGAAAGGCCTATCTGACACCCCTTCCTATGAATTCAGTGAGCCAATATATTTCCCTTTTCATCTTGGCTAGTTGAGTTGGGCTTCTGACCTCGCAATCAAGAGAACCCTGACGTTCTCTTCTTGACTTACACAAGCAGTATTAAAAACATGAAGTGAGTTCCCCAGCCTCTTGCCCAGGATTCCTGCCCTTCCTGGAATCTTCTCCTCCCACCACCAGAGGACCCAGCTGGCCTGGTTTCCCATTCAAAGAATAGCCCTCCTGACCCCTGGCTTGTCCCTACTGTCTGGCGGAGGCTGGAGTCCAGAGATCTGCTCCATCAGCAAAGGGTCCATTCCTGTGATGTTCAGTGGAAGATAGGAACACAGATTCATGGAAAAACCCACTCCCCTCTCCTCCTAGTCACTGATTCTCAGAAGATGGAGGCTCGCCCCTTCCCCTTCCTCCAGGTGAAACAGCAGTGGATGGGCTCAAGAACCCTGCTCATTGGGAGTCCAGTTATGTGTAGGCCTCTAAGGAGGTGGCAGAGTCGGACACTTGCAAGCTTCCAGCTGGGGTCAAGGTTATTAACACCCCACTGTACCCAACATCCAGGTCGTAAGCATCCCTGGTGATGCCAGTATTGGAAACATCCCTGCATGCCTGACTGCTAAAGGAAAAAAGGGCTTCCCCAGTGGCTCAGCACATAAAGAGTGCCCCTGCAATGCAGGAGCCACAGGAGACGTGGGTTCAGTCCCTGGGTGGGGAAGATCCCTTGGAGATGGAAATGGCAACCCACTCCAGTATTCTTGCCTAGAGAATCCCATGGACAGAGGAGCCTGGCTGGAAAAGAAGGTGGCGGCAATGGGCCCCATAAGTTCTGTCAACTTAACAACAAAAACAAAACAGCCACAACATAAGATTTGAGAGTTATGTTTTATTTGGTGGAAATTTTTAGGATTCCAAGCCCAGGAGACAGCATCTCAAGTGACCCTGAGAAAACTGCTCCGAGGAGGCAAGTGGAGGAACCAGGTTATTTAGAAGTTTTACAACAAAGGGCAGGTAGGCTGAACATCAAGAGATTATTGTTCATTAAAGGACATAAGATATCCCAAATTAAAGAGTGTAGCACTTTTCTATTACGGGAAGTTGAAAGAGTCTGGGCGCACTGAAATCATCCCTTTCATGTGTATCTCGGCGATTTGGGGCCAGTACGTCCTGAGTCCCTCAGTGCTCACCGTTAGGAGTGGCTTAAGCCTGATGGTTGCTGGATCGCCGGTATTGTTCTCTTTCCCAGGTGCCTTCAGGATTCACAGATTCATCTTTGGATGGCTGGAATCGCTGATGACTGTGGTATCCTTGTTTACTGATACAGCAGACGGTAAAGGATCTGCCTGCAATGCAGGAGACCTGGGTTCAATCCCTGGGTTGGGAAGATTCCCTGGAGAAGGAAATGGCAACCTACTCCAGTATTCCTGCCTGGAGAATTCCATAGACAGAGAAGCCTAGTGGGCTGCAGTTGGATGCAATTGAGCAACCACACTTTCACTTTTCACTCTATTTCTCAGTTCATTTTCATCAGCCTGCCTTCCAGAACCATTATTGTTGTTCAGTCACTCAATCATGTCCGACTCTTTGCAATCCCATGGACTGCAGCACACCAGGCTTCCCTGTCCTTCACCATCACCTGGACTTTGCTCAAACTCATGTTCATTTAGTCCATGATGTCATCCAAACCTCTCATCCTCTGTCACCCTCTTCTCCTCCTGCCCTCAATCTTTCCCAGCATCAGGGTCTTTTCCAATG